TGTGGTTCAACACCGTACCACTAGTCGGAGGAGTCATATGGATCAAGTCACAGCACACCTCGACAACGACAGCCACGTCCACAGGTAGTACACGTTTAATACAAAAGCGCATTGCTCATCACCAGTCACGAGACCCGAACATCCGCAACAGAGAAACCGCCCGACGGATGGCCGTGCGCCGACGGTCCCCAATGCGAATTCTTCGCCTCCGACTACGAACTGGCCCAGAAGAGAGTCCACATGGCATACTCCACCCAAACACTTCAATGGATCCGCTACTCCCACTTCAACCTCACTTCCCCTCCAGCTTTCAGTTACTTCAATGGGAGTAGCCCGACATTTGTGCATATAAATTCCAGCTCTATGAGAGCCTCGTGGCTGACTTGTCAAAATAAGTGATATGTTTTTTTCTGTCCCAATTACCAAATATGTTCCCTGGAACGCAAGGCACAAGTTCCACAGTTACTCTGGATCCCTCTACAGAGTTAGTTAAAATTTATTCATCCGCCTCCAGTCGTTTCTCGGATTACCGGGCGATGGGGTATCGTGGAAATTATAATAATATAGAGTAAATTGCCTAATAGTTAGAGAATAAAAAAAAACCTTCATTTTGTTCTGAAATGTGCATGCCACTGGAGAATAATTTTTGGAGATATGTTCTCAGGTGTTTCACAGTTCTGAGAGTGCAACAACTGCACAATCTGAACAACAAATAAACAAGTCTAGTTCATTGCCGAGTATGCGGTGACGAGTTGTTTCCCATCCGTCCGACACGACATGGGGCGAATGGATTGTTTTCGTCTTTGCTGAACCACTGAGCTTATGGCTGCTATCGTCTCCCTCGTTCGGACTGAATGTGTTTGTTCTCATCATCCACATATCCCCCTTCCCTAAATTTGGCAACGTACCGCAAAATAGTGGATTTACTGAGAGTCTCGTGTTTGAAATTCTCTGCTCTCTGGAAGTTCTCTGTGCAGTCACTAGAGAGTGACGTTCAAAATAATGTTCTACTATCCTATACAGCGTGTCACGCTCCAGGAATCCACGGTAAACGGTATTTTATCTTCCATCTGAAATAAAAATTGCAAATATTGCTTAAACGGTGTTTCTTTAAAACAATATTCTCGTGGTTCCCAGGTAAATGGAACATCCTATAATTCGCGCATTTGGCTTGAGCATGCATGTGAGCTTAACTCGAGCAACAATCCGTAGAACACTTGGCTATCTTCGATGAAATCAAATGATAATCCTTTCTTCTTTACTTTCAGGTTTAATTATGCAGGAGGTGATAGGTTTCCAGGGAACTCAATCAGTTGACGTGTATTTTGCACTCGGCATGGATGGATCCAATTCAGCGAGGATCCTACTAGAATTCCAAGGTGACACGGACCAACCATTCGAGATCGAAATTCAACTGGAGTAGTCCACAGAACCGACAGTTGTGACTCTTAACCGCACAGATTCCGAAGTGGAGATTATTGAAGCATACCAATGTCTAGTGTTTTCCTTTGATCTTTTAGGTGTCATTCGCTGACGGGAAACATTTTTTCGTGTCTCCTTCGTTTTCATTTTCATTCCTTGGTAGAATTAAACCATTTCTCCCCTCTTCGCGATAGCGAAAGCCATTCGGAAATGAGAAAAGGATATTGTCTGGTCACATAATACTTAAACTGTAGCCATGTAAACCACGAATAGGTGACGCGGCTATGAACCCACTCTTTTTGTCTATTTCTATTACCAGTTGAATAAAAATGTCCAGTCAATTTCTTGACCAAGAGGACATGACAAGTTCATTGCTTATTCCTTTGTGGAAGTAGTGTCTTCAGAAAATGATGACTTTGACAGAGAAACTACATTTGCTCCACCTCTTGGTCTTAGTGATTCTGATTACTGACAGAGGTTGTGATGTCACAGGAATGTTGATGAGGACAATCAGCAAGTTGATTAAGACAATCGATAATTAAGAAGCAAGTAATCATGGTGGGACTGGAGATTCAGGAACAAGCACCATGTGATCTATATTTCGAGGTCGCCAGAAAGTTTCTCTTTCACAGACACCTATGGCCCCAGTAGCGCAAAACATTGAATCAACATCTATTGAATACTGCCTCAACGTCCGTGTGTTGGTGCGATGCTTCTTCTATGCTGATTAAATGCTAGGTGCTAAGGGGGGGGGTGTCGATTGTTGATCGTTGATCTTGATACATTCAGTCCACTTGAAGCATATGATCTCAATGATGAAGTTCTAAATCTCAATATAATATATATTAATTGCCTAGCCCAGAAAATCATTATATGTAACACTGTTACACCGCAATCCCTTTGAATGGGAGAGATACTGACTGGACTGATCTCAGGAAATTCTCAAGCCTGCTAACCTGAATGGGTCTTGCGTGGGACTCGTTAGAACTACTCCTTGGTATGGTGCATTTCTATTACAAAATAATGTTGAAAAAGGTGATTGCATTACCAAGATTTGACTTATACTTGATACGTCTCGGGGATAAATACTAAGAGACTTGGTCAAACGACCGATTTGCACGTAATGCTTAACAAACCACCTTCCTTATCAATTAAGCTCTTTTTTTTACAGAATATAGTACAACAATGCTCAATGGAGATCAATATCATGTTGCATAACATTCGCTTGAGGTCAAGCCTTCGAATTACTAAGCGAAAATTTAAGGGGAAGCACCTCGAGGAAACAAGTCCTGAGGAAACCGAATTTCATCAGGAGCCTATGAGGACATACTGATAGAATGAATCTAATGGTACGAACCTACATATGACAAGACGTACCAGTCAAAAACATTTTCGAAAGTTCTTTTCCAGACTAGTTTTGCACTAAGGCATGGAGGAAGCATCTCTCGTCCTTGCCGACAGTGGTCATGCTAGTGTTTTTCACTCGAGGTAGACAACGTTTCACTTGACTCAGACACACGTGCTTGGGACGTTCCTGATGCAAGAATGTCAAAATCAATTGAAAATTTGTCGAACTACAGTGGAAAACAATGTAAACTCGAAGAGACGCCCCCCCCCTCCCACATAGGAGCCTGAGGACGTCTCCCACAAAAGGAACGCCGAAGTTGCATTTTTCGGGAAGTGTATGTGCGAAAATCCTTAACCCTTATCCTCCCCATCCCATTCCCGGTCATCATTTATTGGTCACGTCTGCAATTACTCATAATAATATTCTTAACGAAGAAGAAGGGTCCTGCATAATGCATGGTCTGCCACCAGACGGACGCTCATGAATCTTCGCTGATCATCATGTGGGAGAGGGAGACGACAGGTCATCCAACGCCTTCTTCCTCTGTCCGTCTACCTCGACAATTAAGAATGCTTTCAATTTAAATTCTTCCTCTAAGACCTGCCCTCCAATGCCAAATGATCTGAGGCAATGGGGAGCTGCTACAGTTGCAGGAACTTCAATTTCAGCAGGCACTACTACTTTTTGTAGAAATCTTAGCACGGCTCTCATTTTCTCATGAAAAATATATATTATGAACTTCGATGAGCTACAACTTCACCATTTGTAGAGTTTTTTGAGCATGCAATGCGAACCAAGCATCATTCAATTCAGTCATATTTTTTGGAAAATCCTATGAATCGATTGAAAAGTTTAAAATCCAAATCAGGAAATAATACGATTGAAGTATCTTAATGCCCTTTGAACAATATACCAAATCCTGAGCTTATTCATCTAGATTATGGGTAGACGTAAACAAGAGAAACTGTATTCAAAACCACGAAGTTTCGAAAATATATGAATGGGATGGCAAACATTTAAAATGAACCATTTTCCAAGTTCGGAATGCCAACATCCAGCTGGCGCTTCGATCAGGTTTCTCTTTCTAACCGCCTAACAGCTAAACGATCAATGAGGCAGGAAAGTTGTGGAATTTTGCCATAATATCTGGATTCGGTTGTTGACTCAATTTGGGTTCGATGCCGATTTAGACAGCTATTAAGGCACGATCAGCACCTATTTTCTCCTTGCGACATTTGCAATCTCACCGAATTGGGTTCTTTTCTGAGATCACTAGGGAATAGTTCATCAACGACGAACAACTAGCATTGATCATTAATGCGCCAATCCCTACACGCCGATGTGATCGGCCGATTCGCAATTGCCTTCTTCGTTGACTAGGGGAAGGCAATGAAGGCCCATGACGCAAGACCAGAGTCCTCGCGTCTCTGCGAAAGGAAGCAGGAACTGAATGGGGGATAGTCGTAGGCATGGTGAACTCGACTCGAGGGCATACGTACTGCTGCTCAGGGATCCACGGGGTGAGTTCCCCTAGCATCTTCTGTGGACTCAATAGGTATGTCATTCTTCACAGCAATGACTTGAAGCCCACGGAAAATACATTGTATCCGTATCGTGCTTCAAGCCTGCACTTTTTTCAACGAAAATACAGAGGTGAGAGTACGCCAAGTTGAGCTTCGTGACTCTCTTGGTGGAGCCCTGCAATCCCATTTATCTGCTAGAGTTTTCAGAGGATACCAAGTGGAAAATTGAGATTTAGAAAGTTTAGCGACTTCAGTCTTGATTTCCCGTAAGGGAATTCTCTGTTCCCTCGGGGTACATCTGTAGAAATACACGCAAGCGTAAAATAATCACACTTAAATTCACCCTTTCGCCCTTTCACGTCTTCACACTGCAAATGCCATGGCTTTGGACCCATACATCTTTGGGTCAGGTCTTCATCCGTGTCAGCATCTTAATCCATTTCATTCCTAGCTCGTTGCTAGTGCGGTTAACATATTAACGAATATCTTCTTCATCTTAGCTACATATGCACAAACTAAAAACCATTCATGGGCAAAATAGCGCTGAAAGATGTTTAATGGAGTATTATTATGTTAAAACTAGTTGTCGTATTATTTCATGGTTATGCCCCTTTTGATCAGAAACATGCTTTCAGAAGTCTCTGAACGAGAAGCAGGAACAAATAAATCGAATAAATCGGAATTCCTATTTGAAACATATGAACGAGATGGGCAATGTCCAGTTGCAGTAATAAAGATTCTTGTTCATCGAGGACCCGAGAAGGACAATGCGAGATCACGCGATTTCCGTCTTTCCTCCGCGACTTTTTTTCGGATAGACGAACTGATGCCCTTGGACCTCTTCCTTGGGGAAGTGTGAAGGACATTGTATTCAGAAGCCAAGACATCTGAGCAGAACGTCTGTCTATTCTATTTGAAGTGTTCGATCCAGATGTGGTCCATGCTGATGACTGTAGGGCTCTTTCATCTCCTCGCCCCCCTGCCAGTCATGGGAGTGAACCAGGCGACGTTTTACAAGGGGGGTGTGGACGAGATCATTCGGGATCCAATCGCTCGAGTGGATTTCACTCAGGAGGGATCAGTCGCCGATTCTGTTCGTTGCGTCATGCACTGCATCGGGTAATGGGTAGTATTCTTTATTTTATCCTTCCCCGGGAGTCTCCATACGATCTTCGTACTTTACCCTTTGTTTCTTGAGAAAAGTGTGAGTTCTTAAGCAAGGAAAAGGATCAAACGGAAAGTCAATGACATTGGGTGGTGATTGCATGCTATCAAAGCTCCATTAGCATCAAGATTTACAATAAATCTAGCACATTGTTGCAAGTATTTCTCAGTCGTATTTCCTTCTCCACAGAGAATTTGTTGAAGAAATTACTTCATGATTGCCACACATAAGATTCGCATACACAGTGTATTTTTGTAATGAATACAGAGTGGGCATCGCGTTACCGTTGATGCCTGAATTTCGACACTCTGGATGAAGTATTTATGTTCCTTGCACAAGCAACGAGAATTGCGAGGGTTTCTCAATCTCGCCATCGACCGACGGCTTCACGTGTCTTCTGGCATCCTTCGGGTTCAGCACCGTGCCACAAGTCGGAGGAGTCATATGGACCAAGTCACATCAGACCTCGACAACGACAGCCACGTCTACAGGTAGTACACGTTAAATACAAAAGCGCATTGCTGATCACCAGTCACGAGACCCGAAAATTCTCAACAGTGAAACCGCCCGACGGATGGCCGTGCGCCGACGGTCCCCAATGCGAATTCTTCGCCTCCGACTACGAACTGGCCCAGAAGAGAGTCCACATGGCATATTCCACACGCACCCTTCAATGGATCCGCTACTCCCACTTCAACCTCACTTCCCCACCAGCTCTCAGTTACTTAATTGGGAGTAGTCCGGCATTCGTGCGTGTGAATTCCAGTTCTGCCAGAGCCTCGTGGCTGAGTTGTCAAAGTAAGTGAAACGTTTCTTTTCCTGCTCCATGTACCAAACATTGGCGCTGGAACAATAGACTAAACTTCCCTCGATTACACGGGATCCCTTCATACAGTTCGTTAATATTTTTTGATCCTCTTCCGGTTGTTTCCCGGATTACCGACCAGCGGTGTGTCTTGGATATATATACATTAAGAAATAATATTTTAGAAATACCCGTTTAGTTATGAAAGAACCCTTTATTGTATTATGAAATATGCATATCACTGGAAAACAAGTTTTGAAATATAGTTTCCATAGAACATGCAGCGTGGAAAGTTACTTTGACTTTTCCTATGATATTTTTCAATTTTATATTTGAAAGTATTTTTCAAATCAAAGCGGCGATGTTGCATGAATCATTTTGTCATGAAGTCGAATTGACGCTTGAGATGAAAAGGTAGACGCGACCTGATATAATGGCAAGATTGATTTCTTTTTTTTTTCATTTACGAGTGAACTCAGTATCAAAAGAAAGGTTCTTGTGTGAAAATGGGAAACAGAAATTTTTAATGAATGAACCGCTGTCTCCTTTGCAGCGGTGACCGCATTCTGCGTCATGTCCTTCCGATTTAATTTGAGGACGGGACTGGTGAGCAGGGTCTTCGTGAAGGTCAAAGGCACTGTGTACACTCCGTCGACGTTTGCCGCGGCCGTGGCATACCCATGGATCATAATTCAGACAGGTGAGGATCATCCGAGTTCTCACTTTCATTCACCTGTGCCTTTCTCGATGAGAAAGATGGAAGTTATTAGTGAATATGAAACTCTATAGAAATACGTTTTTGGGTGTTTCATAGTTCTGTGAGTGCAACAACTGCACAATCTGAACAACAGACGAGTTTAGACTTTTGTGGAGAATGGATTTCTTCCCACTTTGCTTAGTCGCTTAGTTATGGCGGTTGTCGTCCCCATTGTTCGCACTGATGGTGTTCGTTCTCATCAGCCATAGATCCCCCTTCCCTAAATTTGGCAACGTACCGCACAATAGTGGATTTAGCGAGAGTCTCGTGTTTGACATTCTCTGCTTCCTGAAAGTTCCCTGTGCAGGCACTAGCGAGTGACTTTCAAAATAATATTCCTCTATCTTATACAATGTCCCACGCTCCAGGAATCCACGGTCAACAACTCAGCAGTATTCTATATTCCGCCTAAAATAAAAATCGCAAATATTGTTTAAACGGTTTTCCTTTAAAACAATATTCCCGTGGTCTCAAGGCAAAGGGATCACCCTATAATTCGCGCATTAGGGTTGAGCATGCATGTGAGCTTAACTCGAGCAACAATTCGTAGAAGACATTGCTATCTCCGGTGAAGTCAAATGACAATACTTACTTCTTCTCTTTCAGGTTTAACTATGCAGGAGGTCATCGGTTTCCAGGGAACTCAATCAGTTGTCGTAAATTTTTCGCTCAACATGAATGGAATCGATTCAGCAATGATCCTACCAGAATACGAGAGCGACACGGACCTGCCATTCGAGATCGAAATTCAACTGGAGTAGTCAACAGAACCGACAGTTGCGACTCTTGAGTTACACGGATTACGAAGTCCAGATTATTAAGCATAACATTGCCTGGTGATGTTCCTTTTACCATTGTTGTGTCATCCTCACACGAGAAAACCATTGGCTTTCTTCATGTCCCTTTTGTTTTGATTTTCATGCATTGGGAGGACTACACCATATGTTCCCTCTTCGCGGGAACCAAATCACATTCGGAAATGAGAAAAGGAGTCACTGTAACGACTTACATCACTCCCTGCTCCCTTGTATCTAGCTGGCTCAATGTATCGATTAAAATGTGTATTTAACCCCATGGTGATGAATGCATTGCATTTATACATGTACAGTATTTGGAAACAGCTCTGGCTGTTTCTGGCATTGGGGAACGGGAAGAAATTTTATGGTTAGAAATATTGCATACGTACATTTCGAGCAAGTAGCTCTCCTTGCATCATGAATCCACACGCACGCAAAAATCAATGCTAAAAATATCTACAGGGTGGCCCATGAGTCCCAATCTGTCATAATTAAAGCGAAATCAGAAAAAATCCAAATAAATAGAAAATCTGACATTAGTTTAGAAATATTTATTGCTTATTCAAAGTACAAAATACAACAATATTGGCAAATATTCTTTCCATGTTGATCGCCTGCGTCAGTGCGAGCTCCATCATGCGTATGCGTTATCATAACCGATTGGGACTTATGGGCCACCCTGTACACTGGAAGTTCCCCGGTCAGCGCCTCAAGCTGACCGACCAGGACGGACTGGCGAGGTCAGGCTACTTCTTCGAGTTGGAGCAGCAGTGTGAAACATTATGAGAGGCAGCAAACGGTGATTGGGATTCAATTCTGACCCAGGAGAATTTGTTTTGGGATACAACTATGTTTGCGTCTGACCTGTCATTTGCTGTCATTTACGGACATTCTAGAAATTGTAAAAAGTTTTGCCAATGAACATCTTCATTTTTAAGGTTCCTTTGCGCAGATAGTAATTTTCAACCGAAATCGCTTCAGATATTGCACTATGCTAGTGTTGCTTTGACGGGCTTAATACTGGCAGGAGCTAAAATCATGGAAGGAGATCGATGAGCGGGGAATCGCAGAAGCGACTGATTTGCAATATGCATTAGCCTCATCTTCTTTCATCATTATACTTACGATTTGGGCTATTACTCACGGAACATTACTTTTTACGATTGTGGGCAATCACTCGCGGGATGTGTAATTGTAGCTAAATTTGGGAGTCAGAGAAATAGGACATATGATTATCACATGTAGGAGGGATGATGAGGCAAAGGCAACATGGGACTGTTCCATAATGAGACAGGTAAATGTGGAAATTTCTGACTTCCATTACTTGGGAAGATCGACGAGATAAAACCTTTCTCGTAGTTGTTTTTACTTTCTTCCTTCTCCTCTGATCAGGAGGAAAGAAATGTTTATATTACGCCTCAAGCAGTCGGAGAAAAGAATTGGACCAAGGGCTGGAGAAAGACCTGAAAGTTGTATTTAAAACTAGCTATGGTCGTGCCTTCGGCGCTCCATTACCTTGTATTCTGATTATTTAATTAATTCTTTACGAAATGGCAAACATGTATTTTAAGTACGTCCCCATTGAAATAGATGACATATGGGGACGAAAGTCTTGATTTTTTAAAATGAAAATCATTACTTCTATGATTTCTAGTGTGTCTAACTCGAAATCTTTTCATGTGTCCGTTTTTGTAAGGGTGGAGAATACATTTTGAAATACTTTCGGGTTCAGCACCGTGCCACAAGTCGGAGGAGTCATATGGACCAAGTCACATCAGACCTCGACAACGACAGCCACGTCTACAGGTAGTAC